CAGTCCATCCATGGAGAGCTCTCATAGAGTACAGCCCTACACTTCTGCGCTCTGAATCGAGAACCCAGCCCATCCATGGAGAGCTCTCATGAGGGCGCCCAGATATGAAAAGCATCAACATCACCAAAACCACAGAAGTCAACACTTCGACAGCTGACTCCCACTCAAGTCAATACTTCACAAACCGCTCAGCTGCCTACTACGTCTTACCCGAATCAATGAGGCGAGCCCATAGAGATCAGAAGACCCACCACCGCGCCACTAGTCATCACCAGAGGGTCTGCACTAGTCACCAGAAAGATGGATCATAACACAGCGCGCACCATCTTGGTCCCGTGGACGTCTCTACCCATTTAATTTGGACCAGTCCGAGAGCTGTCGCCGAGAGGTTGCTGCACTATAGACGCAACTTGCTGAACTATCGACATCACTCGCGGAACAATCAAGACGACTCTCGCTGCCGAACCGTCGCAGAATGTACCGCGCTGAACTATCAGCAGAACTCTCTGAACTATCAACAGAACTTCCTGAACTATCGACGGAACTTGCTGAACTATCGACAGAACCTGCCGAACTATCAGCAGGACCTCCTGAACTATCAACAGAACCTGCTGAACTATCAACAGAACTTGCTGAACTATCAGGAGAACTCTCTGAACTATCAACAGAACTTCCTGAACTATCGACGGAACTTGCTGAACTATCGACAGAACTTGCCGAACTATCAGCAGAACCCCCGGAACTACCAACAGAACCTGCTGAACTATCAACAGAACCTGCTGAACTATCAACGGAACTTGCTGAACTATCAGCAGAACTTGCTGAACTATCAGCAGAACTTGCTGAACTATCAGCAGAACTTACTGAACTATCAGCAAAACTTACTGAACTATCGGCAGAACTTACGGAACCATCAGCAGAACTTACTGAACTATCAGCAGAACTTACTGAGCTATCAGCAGAACTTCCTGAACTATCAACAGAACTTGCTGAACTATCGACAGAACTTGCTGAACTATCTGCCGAACTTGCTGAACTATCAGCAGAACTTACTGAACTATCAGCAGAACTTACTGAACTATCAGCAAAACTTACTGAACTATCAGCAGAACTTACTGAACTATCGGCAGAACTTACTGAACCACCAGCAGAACTTACTGAACTATCAGCAGAACTTGCTGAACTATCAGCAGAACTTACTGAACTATCAGCAAAACTCACTGAACTATCGGCAAAGCTTACTGAACTATCAGCAGAACTTGCTGAGCTATCGGCTGCAAAACTTACTGAACTATCAGCAGAACTTGCTGAACTATCGACGTAGCTTGCTGAGGTATGGCGCTGACGGGCGGCGTGGTTAAGTAAAATTACGCCCAGACGCTGGGGAGACAAGAAATGCCCTCAGATGCCGCCGCTGCCACCGACAAACTTACTAGAACAAGAAATGACACTGCTGGGATTTGAACCTGAGTCCTGGAGAACTGAATCAAGCGCGCTACCAGCTGAGCTACTTCGTAGTTAAAATATGAAATGACCTACTTCGTCTAAACGTCTCGGGCTTCAGTCTTCACAGGAAAACGCTGTCGCTAGTTTTCGAACGTTGGTGGTCAAAAGCAAAGCCGAGGCTTCTACCAATTGGCCTACTTCTTTGAGCTGCTACCTGGCTTCCTACTCTCTATGGTTCTAGTCCAGGCTGGCTGATACAGCGAAGCAGAGGAGTACAGACAGCAGAGAGAGTCTAAAGCAAAGCCAAGACAAGAAATGCTTCCAGATGCCGCCGCCGCCACCGACAAACTTACTAGAACAAGAAATGACACCGCTGGGGTTCGGGCCTGTACCTCAGTCCTGGAGAACGGAAACAAGCGCGCTACCAGCTGAGCTACTTCGTAGCTAGCGTATGGAATGACTTACTTCGTCTAAACGTCTCGGGCTTCAGTCTTCGCAAGAAAATGCTGTCGCTAGTCTTCGCAGGAATAGCTGCGCCAGCGTATTTTCAGACGATGAAGATTGTAGTGAACCTTGCTAACCACTGCGCCAGTTTTACTGTCTTCAGAGTAAGGCCCGAAGATCACGATATCAGCGCACGAAGATGATCCAGACAGAATAAGCAAGTAACTTCCCACCTAGGGCCATGCGCCAGAGATCTTGACCGAGATGGGCTGAGAACTAGCAAGACAAGGGCTACGACTCTACGTGGATTCACAGCGTCACATGCTGAATTTGCGTCATTGATGTCTTCGAGACTAGAGCCTTCAGGGATTGGCTAGAACTTTTTCCAGCAAGTGAATGTCTTGACCATTAGACCAAGCCAGCAGCTGATATGTTGAGATGACACGATCGGCGTCATGTTCTAGCGGTCAAATAACGCGAGCGGCCAGAGGTGTGTCCTAGATTCAGACGCATGGTCAAGCAAGTCCCTCCCATATATAGAAGGGACACCAAGGGGAGCCAGCTCTCGACTCAAGGTTCGTCAGGATTCAGAGGGAAACCCGTCGGGCTACTAGTACGGAGGCGATTCCTCGCCTGCCATATAGAGGGAACAGACACCAAGGGAAGCGGGTTCTCGGTTCAGGGTTCAGGATTCAGATGAGACATCGCGTCGCCTGCCATATAGAAGGGACACCAAGGCGAGCCCGTTCTCGATTCAGGGTTCAGGATTCAGATGACCAATCAAGTCCCTCCCATATAGAAGGGACACCAGGGGAGAGCCCGTTCTCGATTCAGGGTTCAGGATTCAGATGACTAATCAAGTCCCTCCCATATAGAAGGGACACCAAGGAGAGCCGGCTCTCGATTCAGGGTTCAGGATTCAGAGGGAAACCCGTCGGGCTACTAGTACGGCAGCCCTCTCGGAGAGCTGGAGCCTCGGGCTTTTAAAGTGCTAAACACCTCTAGAGTTTTCTTATTCATGTGGGTGCCGATTAGTAGTAGTAGTAGTAGTAGTAGTAGTAGTAGTAGGAGTAGTTCAAAGGGTTCGCTCCTCCTGCCTCTGATCAGGAGAATTCTCCTCCAATTTATCCTGTGCTTGCTGTCGCTTTTCGTTCCTCTTTTTTATCCTCTTGCGATGGCGTGAAGGCGTGTTGAAGCCTTTACGACTCTTATCTCTTCCCTCCTTCTGAGGACCTGACTCGTTACTGTCTCCCCCTTGCATCTTCTCGATTGCCAGCCACTAGTTTTATTCTCAGCGCTTCCTTCTTGTAAGCTACTTGTGTGCTCCCTGCTTTTATTGGTTTCTTCACATACATTAGAAGTAGACCCCCAGATGAGCGGTTGCAATTTCACTTGTAAGCAGGGCTACTTCTTCCTCTTTTTCTTCTTTGGTTAAGTCGAGCTTCTTTTCATCATTCTTACGGGCGATAACAATTCTTCTTCTTTATACCTACTGCCTGCGCAAACGCGACGCCGGCTTCAGCAATTTCATCCAGTTCGGTCTTCAATTTCTTACCAATACGGCCTTTTTTATTCCCAGGAGCTTCTTCAGTGAAGTACTTTAGAACTGTAGAACTTCCAGTGCTTCTCGCAGCTAGCTCGTCGTGGTGCTCACAGAGAGTACCAGCTAACGTGCGTAGCCGCTCGAGCGTAGCATTCTTGTACTTGGATCCAGTTTTTTCAAATAAATGCTTCACTTCTAGATCTTTCTCAAGCACGATCTCGAACTCTTGTAGGCGCGACATACTGCGTGTAGTCAAAACGTTCGCATATTTGAGGAATGAATAGCCTTCGACTTTCTCCCCCTCCTGCTCTGAACGCGTCATGAATAGTGTTACAGACGCGAACTCGCCAGCTGCGTTGTTGTATGCAGAACAAACTGACTGCCACTTCTCACTGATTTCTTGTGCAACCTTGAGTGCCTCGGCCAGGCCGCGGCCCTCCACTTTCGTAAAGGGTCCCACGGCAACCTGAGCCAACGACAAGCAGGCGCCAAACTTATTAAACGCTTCGACTTTCTCGCCCTGATATAGTAAGTTGTACTTATACGCTTTTAGACCCGAACAAACTTGCTCGACCATCTCATCAATTGCCTCTTGTCCTCCTTCGCCGTTCAGCTTCTTTTTTGTCGAAACGGGCCATCCGGCCTCGTGGAGTTTGTCCTCCAAGTTCAACACCATAACTTACTATCTTCATTTTTCATCTTTCGAAGTCCAAATCTCAACCTAATGGAAATTAGCAAAAATTTCTGATCATATGTACATGTAGATGTCCTGTGAATCACGTTATTCTGTTTGCCCTTCTGGTCTAGTCGTAGTTCGGTCATTCCTCGTTGAAGAAAACCAAACACAAACTGGCACTAGCATAAGAATGATCTAGTACATTTTTACTCTTCGCAAAATAAGCAATTTTAACTACTTCAGTAACCTACAACCCTCTGCTTGTTGAATTCATATCTCTATCATCCCACTACGAGATCACCCTTGAAAATACATGGAAATGGATGATACTTAGAAAATTATTCTCGTCCGATAACTTCGAAAGACTAGAAATCATTGCTCTGTCTCCAATCAAAAAACGACAATCTGAATTTGTAGTTTCATCTTTCGACGTTGCAGCTACTTTCTTCGAATATACAAATTTTTTCATGAAGATGAAGATCAAGCGACTGTTGGCGTAAAATTACAGGAGACATTCAAATCTTCCTACTATGTGTCCTACCTTGTCCTGCTTGGAGACGACGGACAACAGAGAGAGACACGCAATTATCTATCATATGAAATCACTATGTATAATCACTATTTATTTTGTAAACACACACACGATTTGACTATAATAGACCAAGATGTTGATTGAAGCAAAAAGTAAAAGACGATGTAGTTGTAAAAATGTAGTTCTTTCCATCAAAGGGACATCAAAAAATCATTATTTAAGCCTCAATATGCTCAAATTATCTATGCAACCACCATTGCGAACAATCCTGGTCGAGCTAGTTTTCTGCTTCGAATTCATCTTGAGGTGTCGCCTAAGTAGAAGTTCTTGTCGAAATTGTGATGATCTCTGTGATGCTCTGCATTGACTTCCTCGGATACGACGAGTAACGCAAAAGCATAGCTGTGTGGATCTTCAATATTCGACGATCTTTAGTCAAAGCCATGACATATAGAAGATCAGGTGGAACAAAGAAGCCTTTCGATTTAGTCAAGGACTAGTACTTCTCCAAAAAATTCCTCAAGGACGGCATTGTCAGCTTGTTTGCCATCTTCCTTGTCATTCTTACCATCTTTAACGTTATTTCTTCCCTTTGTTGTGCGTGATGAGGACGCTCCCTGCTTTCCCTTGTTTCCATTTTTCTCAGCCACAAGAGCCAACGTGCTAGAAGAAGTAGAAGTACGAGTACTACAACAAGTAGGAGTATGATTACTAGGTCTAGAAGGAGTAGTGCCAGTTGTATTTTTAGAACAAGTTCTCTTTCTGTTTCTTGTAGTACTAGTTGTAGTTTTTGAAGCACTACTATCTTGTTCCTCATGATTGCCAATAGAGGACGCAGCGGTTGTACGAGTCCAAACGCTCGCTTCTTTTCTTTGCCCTCCTCCACGATTTTTTCTTTTCCGCAAGAATTCTGCGTGTCGCTTTAGCCAATGTTCCCCTTCTACACGCGTGATCATACGTCCTCGAGCCTGTAGCAACGTGCCTACAAGTTCTCGACTGCTTAATAATTGGTCGTGAAGCGGAGGCGTCGTGGTAGTATTGGCAGTGGCAGAAGCAGGCGTAGTAGTAGATGAAGAACTGCTAGAAGAAGAAGTCATCTCGACTGGTGTAGCCGGTCTAGATCCATCCTCTGCTTGAAGTTCCGCCTCAAGTCTGGCGACTTCTTCGCTTTGCCGCTTGCGAAATTCAGCTTTCGCTTTCCAATAGTCCTGACGCCGTTCCATACGAGTTTTTTTCTTGACCAAGAAGGGCTTAGCTGCTGTTCCGGGAATCTGTATAAAAATCTGGTGTGTTGTACTACTTGAGGTTGAACAAGAAGAGGTAATGGCACCAACTCTAATTGAGCTCGAAGCAACCTGCTTTGTGTCGCTTTTCTCCTTTATACGAAGGGAAGAAGATAGATTCTCATCATCCTCAGGAGCGAGTAAATCATCCTCTTGATCTTGGAGACCCGTTCCCATTGCGCTTACATCAACATCCATGTCGACTTGTTCATGCTTGTGGTTCTTCACAGTAGTATAATTGACGGCAAACTTCTGATGACGGTTCAGCACGGTTCCCACAGTTTCCTCTGGCTCAAAATCGGATGAGAAAGAGAGAGAGCAGCTTTCAGACCAGTCTTCGGAGTCCCAGAAAGGATCCTCATCGATCTGTTCTTTTTAGAGGTAGAGCAAGTAGAGTAGAAATTCATTTTCCAGACCTAAGAACGACATAGTCAGACAACTCGTTGCGACTCGTCTCAGGACATATGGATACTGATTCTCAATTTCATACATTCATGATAGAAGAAAACTGAGGAAGTGAACCAATGCTAATGCAGTGAAAACACTGGGAAAGTGTATTTTGATTTCTATCTTCGATAGGAGCCTTAATGTTCTGATTCAACATCATTCATACCTTTACCACTTTTATACCTTTACTTCCATGATAGAAGAAAACTGAGGAAGTGAACCAATGCTAATGCAGTGAAAACACTGGGAAAATGTATTTTGATTTCTATCTTCGATAGAGGCCTTAATGTTCTGTTTCATCTGCCTCAATAGCAGCGCATCCGTCACTACTTGCAGTCGGGTTTTGTTGCACAATAATATCAGCAGTCCGTACTACGATCACCTCGTCATCATCTTCTACGGCTTCATCTCCTGTTGTGTCTGCTCGCGCCGCTAGTGGTTTCGGAATCGGTCTACTGTTGTTCGTGTTATTAGGGAGTAAACGCTGTCGCTTAGTTTGTGGCCCAACAGCCTGAACTGCACCTGCACCGACCCCACTTCTGGAAGCCGCAGAGTAATTGCTTGCTTTGCCATTCTCAATACTGACCGGCTCCGGAGCTAATCCGCGTCGTCTTTTCTTTGTTTTTCCCTGTGGTGCAACTGCTGCAACAGCTTTCTTGGCTTGTTTTTTGTCGTCTCCATCTGAGGCATCTTCTCGTTTTGTCCGCTCCACAATGCCCGCACGAACTCTATGAAGGAGGTGCGAGGGTCATGAACTTTTAATGATCATGTAGTCGGGCCTTGCTGTATTTCTACTTCAGACCCGATCTAAATTCATTGAACCCGATCATCATGATCGTCTGCGTCTCAGGGTTTCGCTTTCGGGGAGAAGAAACAAAATAAACCAAGACTAAAACTAGAGGTAAATAACAACTAAAACTAAAAGTAGTTGTATCGATTACATTTACAGGTACTACAGGTGCACGACGTACAGGTCGTACTACTACAGAGCATTAATAAAGAAGTGTAATACAGGTGTACGACGTACAGGTCGTACTACTACAGAGCATTCATAAACAAGTTCTCCACGTGTCATGATTCGAACGCCATCGCCGTCGATGACTTCGCCTTCGCCAGCCTCCAGTTGTCGCGAGTCGTGGACCACCAGTTTCCGAGATCGTAGTAACATTTGATCGAAGGCTGTGTATGAATGCTTCCGCGACTCATTGAGAATGTCTATAATAGGGGAATGTCGTTCCCGCCCTCCTTTGGCCTCTTCTTATCTTTCTAGGTGGATGAACGACATTCTCTTATAGAAACTTGGATTCTCAATGAGTGGCATCATACAGTGTAGTCCTCTTGCTGTCGTGGATTCACGGTCAATAACTTGTTTACTTCCTCAAAAGAAGTACCGTTGATGTCCTCTTCGAATTCAACAAAGGGTGGTTCTAGACGATTGTTGCAGTTGTTGTTCGTCGTGTTGGAAAAAGACGAAGAAGTGCTATTGGATGAGGCCTTGCTCTTGGTCGCCATCTGCTCCCTTGTGCAACTTCCCCCAGTAGCGGAGGACGCTGCTCCGACGGCTCCTTTCTTACCTTCTTTCTCCGCTTCGCCTAGGAATGCCTTTTGCATTTCGTTGACGTGGTCAAGGTCTTCTATTTCGATCATGGAGCGGTCCATCATGCTCACATCGTGATCGAACCCGAAATCTTCTAAGACTAAGTCCCGCTTATTCACCGCAAATTTCTTGATATTGGTTCTCTCCACCATGTTAAAGCGAACCGGTGACAAATCTCCTGCGTTCTCGGCGCTTCGGATGCTCATTTCCTTTTGCTTTTGTTGTTTACAACTATTGGCAACAGCCGCATCGCCGACTTTATTTGCCATGTCATTGATCGCTCCATGGTGTCTGCGCACGTGCTGCTCTGACCAATCGTTACAAAGCTGCAAACGGATGACTAAGACGGCTTTCCTTTGTCCGATGCGGTGCACACGATCGATCGCTTGCAATTCCATCTGGGGGTTCGTGTCTTGGTCGAACAGGAGGGGTTAGAGGTGGAGGTAAGTCTAAGTAGTAGTGGGAGTAGTCGTAGCAGTGCCACATTGTGGCATGACCAAAGGAAACCTGCCACATTCTGGTGTGATCCCTCGTCATGCTAATTGCATCTAGAAAGATCTACCACGAGCTTGACGTCCTTTCACTTGTTCGCGTTTCCCCACGAGCCCTTGTTCTCTTAAAAGACTATAAATCTTGTTCCTTGAAGATGACATCTGTTCCCACCTCGCTTTGAAACAAAAGACCTTCTATCCGCAAAGAATGAAAATCTACGTCTCAACATTCACTCCGAATTAATAAGGTCGTATATCTTCCAGAATGCGAAGAACGAAGATCTCAACAACTACTACCACTTACTCTTACACTTAGAAAGTAAGAATTGCCATAAATAACCGTATCTGCGGTCTGCAGGTTCAAACCGACCCCACCAGCACGAGTCGTGAGTAAAAAGACACGTGGACTGCGTTTTATTGCAATTTCCTTTTCTCTTTGGACCCGGATGAACTCTTTAAACTGCAACTTCATCTGTTCGAGAGCGGCAGGAGTCAAGGTGAAGTCCTCTGAGTCGACGCCTACTTCCTGTTGGAGGTCTGCATCGGGATCCTCTTCTTGCCTCGTCGTCGTCAGAAGTGCTCTGCATAAATCTGGTTCTTTTTGTATTAGGGGTTGAAAGTTGACCTCCGATCTACTATTTTTCTCGATCACATGATATAATCTATGACTTTGTCTTTCCTACAACTACTTGAAAACTTATCTATGACTTTGTCTTTCCTACAACTACTTGAAAACTTGTTCATTATAGATTTATGCTCATTATAAGTAGATGAAAGGTCAAGTTCCAGTCCCAGCGACCCTTAATTGTAGGGTGTCTACTAGTTTGTCGATTTCTTCTTCCACGCCACCTGTGATGTCCATGATCAGCTGTAACACACGCGTTTGCAGTTTCGTCAGGTTCGACAGCACCTGCTTCTTGAAAAAACTCTTCGCTTGCGCACTCGCAAAAGATTGGAAAAGACGATGCTCTTGCGTCATTGAAGACGGTCTTCGAGGATCTTCCTGGAACCGATCTCGACGACCTCGTCCACCGCGTGAAGAAACTAAAGCACTCCTTCCACCTCGTGACCGAGCAGACAGTGGCGTACTAGTGGCAGCTCCTGCAAGTGCAACTAGATCATCTGTTCCCGCTAGAAGTGGAGGTGTACCACTGTGATCCAAAAATTCTTCGTCTTCACAGATATCGTCCAACGTCGGCAGATAGGGTGTGCAAAATGATGGAGTTCCACACGGGGTTGTTGTAGAAGACAAGCCTGAAGAGGTTCGGTCAATAGCTGCGCGGCGGATACTTTCTGGTATCCATTGAGAACTTCTTGGACGCCACCCACGAGAATCCAGTTTGTCGCGCCTCTCTAGAAGCTTTCGCTTCATTTCTTCATCTATCTGCGTGTGCTGAGAGTTTATGATTGATATTCCTGCTTTTCTTGCTGCTACCATGTTGGTCTTCCCGTTTGTTCGGTTTCTGTTAGTACCAGAGAAGTAGAAGTTGTGACTGTCATTCTTGATCTTGTTGTCTTGATGAACTTGCACGAGTGCACCATTTGCTATTGTTGTTGTGTTTCCACTAACGACTAAGCTGTAGTCAGAATCTTGGTCATCGTCCTGTAGCGGCAAGGGTCCTCTGTAGCCTCCCTTTCTTTTGCGGTCAGGGTTGAAGATTAAATCCCTGTTTGCTCTGATGGCGCAATCTGTCTCGTATTTCGTTCGCTGTGCTTGGTTCATATAGGGGAGTAACTCCGCTGCCTCGGGATTCTCCATCGCTCTCTGTAAATGCACTTGCGCCATGCATTCTTTTGCCACTCTTCTGCCTGCTCTGCCTCATATTAGAAGTAGAGGTGCGAGTTGCCCGTGCCTACCGTACAAATTCATGATCATCAATTTCAAAGGCGTCTTCTTTCTCTTTGGCGTGTTTTTCTTTTCACTCGCAAAAAGAAACAAGTAGAAAGTTAAAGTAGCCCTCTACTAAAGATAAAGATCCTACTTCTACTAATTGTTCTCCTTCTGCTCTTCAATCACAATCCTCATCCTCTACTCTCGACGAATGCGGCATGAAAAAAACTTGACAATATTACATTTAAAAAATCAGGACACCCACAGGCACAGGCCTTAACTCGAATTTGGTCTTCAGCGTGACACCTTTAATGCCGCAGATGTTCGCTTTTCTTCTTCGAGTTCGCAGTCGCCTTCCAGGATGTGCAGCTCGATATGCTTCGTGTCTTTGTCTGACCTTCTCCCTCCGTCGTTCTAAACGCATCTCATGCTTCTCTGCCATGCATTCAGGAGAAACAACTTCACCCCTCTGCCTCCTGGGAAAAGGCGGAAAACGACCACAATTATCGGCTAAGCATGAAACTAGATGGTGTTCCTCTGAAGACGAAATGCTGTTCCATGAAGATCTTCTTCGCGAAAGAGAAGATGCTTCTAGAAGTACTCCACTTGCACTTCGACGTGCTCCTCCTGCTCCAAAAAATCCCAATGCTCCAGATCCACTCCTGCTGAATCCACTCCCACTCGTCCGACTTCCACCACCTACTCCCATCTTGATCAATTTTTTCCTCATCCTCCCCTCCCAACTGTCTTTGGCAGGTTTGTAAAAGTCGTACTCCTCGAAGAGGTTTTGGGTACGGCGTATAGGAAAACCAGGCCATTTTGACAAAGCCTATTTTTAGAGCTAAAATCCATCTTGAACTTCAAGAGCATCTTTATCTTAGTGATAGTGCAATGAACACATGTTGTTGGGTCCAAAATCATTTTGCACTAAAGAACGGGTCCAAAATCATTTTGGTTATGATGGACTTCTTGAAGCCTTAATCTTTCCAGTAATCGGCATCTGGGAAGGAGGAAAGATCGATTTTAGCTGCATCAGGCATGGACTCGACCATGGCGGCTAACTGCGAGTCGCTCAGCATCAAACGCTCACGCTCATCGCGAAGAGCGCGGCGGCGTTGTCTGCGAGAAGTTGTCATGTTTGATGTTGCAGAAGCTTTATTGATGATGTTTCTAGTGGTAGTGTAAGTGCTGTGAGATGACTTGGAATTGTGAAGTGTCGTTGTCGTGCTAGTTGCTGCTCTGACACCGGCTACGCCATTCGCGTCACCACTACCATTTTGTTCTTCAACATCAATTACCTCACCGCCTAATATTCCTGCAGCAGAAACGCAAGATATGTCCAAGAGGGAAGACTCATTCAAGCGCCCACCTATGAAAGAGTCATCGTCGTCGAAAATGGCTGTAGACTCGTCACCAATACGGCTTTCCTCGTCCAGTAAGTTGAAGTTGTTCCCAGCACCACCATAACCATGCTGAGGTCCGCCTCCTGCTAATTTCTCCACTAGATCCAGTCGCTTCGCAGTGGCTTCAACAGCTTTGTCGGGTGTCGTGTCCGTCATGATGATGCATTCATGTTTAGCTTTTATTCTTTCGTATCTGCGCTTGAAGTCAGCCAATTTCGCTCGAAGACGGCGCTCGCGATCGAAAATACAGGTAGAATCAGTAGAAGAAGTAGTGGCTTTGCTTGTGGCACCACCTCCACTAGTAGTATTTGTATTTCCATTTTCAACATCTTCAGCGCCTTTATTGAATCTATTCAGTTCCTCTTGCCGTTTTGCGGTCGAAACTTGCCCATCAATCTGACAAAAATCGATTTGTTTCGCCTGCAAATACCGCGCGATGATATCCAGCATCTGCTTCCACTGTGTGAAGATGACGACTCTGCGACCTGAGAGGATCAACTTCGGAAGGATGCGGTCTAGCATTTCCAGCTTGGGGGATGTTTTGATAAGATCGTCAGCGGTCATCTTGCTGTTCACAAAATCTAAATCCCAATTCAAAGCCGGATGCTGAGCTGCTTTGCGCAGTTGGACTAGAGCCGCAGTACTAGTCGTGCTTCCAGTTGTTGCCATCAGCCGTTCCTCATTCCCTCTTTGCAGGCAGTTTCTTGGTACTTCTATGAGAATTTCACGTTTTGGCGGCAAATTTTGAAGAATTGCCTTCTTCTCGCGTCTCAGCATCACTGGTTTCAGCAGAAGTTTCACCATTTTCATCTGGAGTTCTTGCTCTTCAACGGATGAGCCTCTTTTTTTGTTCTGTACGCGTTTCGGGTCTAGGAGCTTCAGAATTTGAGGCGGCAACTCTGGAAAACGACGACGCAGAGACGTGCTGTCAGGGTGGTTTGCACCATGTTGGTCTAGTATATCTACTCCACTTCCTCTTTTCCGTCCAAACAAGATACTGACCAATCCATGCCAAAAATCGCGCATGTTATGTGTGATTGGCGTTCCAGTCACCAAAACTCCCATTTCGTAGTTCAAGGACATGACGCTTCTATGATACACAGACTTCGGATTCTTCAACCTGTGTGCTTCGTCTAGGATGCAAACGGAAAATGTTTGAGATTTGAAAAATTCCAGTTCACAGGCCAAGATCTCTGGTGTGGTGACCCAGATGCGGTAGTGGCGGAGGCGAAGGAGAGTGCGCATCGTGAAGCGCTGCGACGCGTCGCCGACAAAAGGGAAAAACAGACCAGTGTCGCGTCCTACGCGTTTTGACTCCTTATTGCCGTCTTTAGCGAGTTTAGCTGCAAACTGTTTCGCGTTTTTACCACGATCTGCTTGCGCTTTCCCACCTGATCTTCGTAGCTCTTCCAATTTCGCTCTACTCCCAGTTTTCGTGTTGAAAAGACCCGCTTTCTCAAGCAAACTGTCAAGGAACTTGTTCTGTTTCCCTCTGCCCTGAAGCAGCATGTCGGTCTGACGCTGCTGCATTTTGAGTTTCGCCTCACCAAGATGTTTCCCAGGCTTGAGCATGCCGTATTGGTCAGCCATCTTCCTGATCTCCTCTTGCAAATACTGAGCGGAGGAGCCAGATTTCTTAGAGTTGGGCTTGGTTCCTCCTGCTGATGAAATGAGGGCATTCTTTGAACTAACCGAGGATGTTGTACTGTTTTCTCCTGTTCCGATAGGTTGATATTTTCGTTGATGCCCTCCGAGAACGCCGCTGGTTGTAGTATCTTCGTTATCTTCGTTGACATCTTCTGCCCCGTTGTAGCCGTACAGAAACTTGATTTCACGAATCCATGTTTCTACCACACTAGCTGGACACACGACCAAATGCGTTGTTTCGCCGATTTTTTCGCGGTCTATCCAGTCTAAAAAAGCTAGACAAGAAATCGTTTTCCCCAACCCCATTTCGTCGCACAGCATGGCGCTCTGTTGATGCAAATGGCAACTAGCGAGCCAAGAGACCGCTTCTAACTGGTGCGGCATGAGTTTTACGTCTGGATTGAAGTGCGGCTGCCAGTTTTGCAGACTCAAAGGCCCAAGCCCTGCTCCACTCTGGTCGGCGTAACTGTGAAGGGGTAAACCAAGGTGAAGACCCAGTTGGAGGATGTGACTTCGCAATTGCGCTTTTTTGGGATCAACATCGGTGACACCATCCTCTTCACCAGGGAAAATGCTAGAAAGCATGCTGCCAACCTTGCAGACACGATCATGATCGATTTTTGTCTGGAGACTTTGTTGTTGATGCTGGTGTTCTTGTCGACGTCTGATCGCGGCTCCTTCGTCGAACCCTCCTGGGGTGAAGCCTGGAGTTGGCGCTCCACCACCGAACGCAGAAAAAGATGCTGGTGTTATCCCATTGTTCGCATTCGGCGGGGTAGTACAACTAGCGAAATCGTAATCATAATCAACAACTGGTGTTTGAAAATTGTAAACACTGCTGATAGGGGGAAACGCTCCTCCTGGTGTACGTGTAGCAGCACCTCCGAAGGAGTTGTTAAAGTTGTCCACTTGCACTTCTGGTACTACAACGTCCTCTTTCAGAGAGAAAGACATCAATCCGTCGTCATCTTCGTCTTCGTTTGCTGGCGTGCAACTAGGATCAAAGACCTGAGGGTCGTCCTCGTCGTGATAAGTGATTCCGTATCCAGCAATAAACGGTCTACCAGGAGTCAGGCCTAGTGGCATCTTCTGCATATTGTCAAGATGTTCATTGGTGTACTTGATCTTGTTGGACTCCTCGATGCTTGCAGGAGCGCCGGCAAGGTACATAAAAATTCCTTGTTCCGTAGCAGGAGTAGCGTCAAGACCACGATTTTTAGCATTTCCTCCTCCATCAACATCATGCATATTATTACCAAAGACCACGCAGTCGCCCTCATCCAGATCTCCATGCATTAGCCTCGCAGTTTTTACCCTCTTCACCACACTGTACAGTGCTTGTTCGTAGAGCTGGAAATACCGTGCACATTCCAAAGCTAGTCGCAATAGCATGTGCCGTCGATAGGCTTTCCTTTCGTGAAACCTCCTAGCCTGCTTCGGAATCAGTCGCACAATGCTAGAACTCCAATGCGTTGTCCAAGGTGTTTTCTCGCGTCTATGAGTCCGCTCCTTTTTCTTCCAGCGGTAGTCCTTTGCGGAAGTGTACGAGAGCTGGTCTGCGAGGCGACTGGGATTAGATAAGATTTTTTCCTCAAGCTTTTGCTGCTTGGTTTTCGTCTTGTTTGATGAAGATGCAGTCGCGCCGGCACCTTCTCCTGCCGCCCCACCTCGTCCACCACCAGCATCTGCCGCATCTTCAACGATAACAACTCCGTCAAGAACTACACACGAACTATTAGAGGTCGACGTGGTCGAGTGAGCAGATGTGGTGCTAGAAGTAGTGGATTCTTTCACCTCAACTACTGGTAGCCATTTGTAGTCTCCTTTGTGGTAGTAGGAATTGCTTTCGTCGTAGACAGTCATTTTGCTCGACGTTGCAAGTGGTGGTGAGAGAAGTTTTATTCCACATCCACCGAAGGCATCTCCGTCTGTTGAATCATCAACATCACTAAGGTCGATCACCGGATCATGCCGATTATCGTCTTGAAGATCTAAGCCCACAACTGGCGGCCTCCTGCAAGTGGAAGATGATGAGGAGGAACTACTAGAGGCAGAAGTAATTGTTGTACTGGAGGAAAAAGGTGGAACCGGAGGGCGTAATCGTAGACGACTAGATGATGTTGAGGAAGCTGCACCTGCAGAAGTACTGGAAGATGAAGGACGACTAGAAGCGGAAGCACTTCGTTTACGCGAAGAGGACGATGCTGATGAAGAACTTAAGAAACTTGATGTTGTTGATGTCGTAGCCACAGCACTACCAACACGCCTAGGAGTCTCGCCTTCTTCTGCTGGCTTCTTTCCTCCAACTTTGAATACTGCACGACTTTGCGTATGAGATTCTTGAGCTTGAGGTTGAGAAATAAAGCTACTAAAATTCCTGTAAAACACCTCTGTAGCTTGTTTGACATAGAAGGGTTTTTGTTCTGCCACTGCTTTGTCCCTAGTTTGCTTGAGGTACAACATCAATAGGTCCTTGACGTCTTTGTTCTCCCTGTCGAGAGGGGAAGTAGCTGTGGGGTTGTTTCTGAGACGTTCTATAAGTTTCTGACTTTTCTGCGCAGACCGTTCTTCAGGCGTCAGCATATCCTTTTTCTTGGCTTTTTCTGCCTTAGAGTCTCCCTTTTTGACCTTCTTGTTGATATCACCAGACGATTTGTCTTTCACCTTGTTCTTCGTAGCCCTATCACCAGAGGATGACGCCTTGTTCTTCTTCGTCTTGTTGTCCTTGTGCTCCTCCTTGTTCTTGTCACCAACGGCATCTCCTGACTGTTTCTTTTCGTTATTCTGTTTCTGAAGCGTTTCCTTGTCAGTCTTATCTGCACTAGAAGTAGAGTTCTTCTTGCTGTCCTTTTTCTCGTCTTTCTTCTTTATCTTTTCCTTTTCTTTCTCGTCCTTTTTCTCTTCGTCAGAAGATAGTAGCTCAATGACCTCTCCCCCAACAGCGGTTACTCCTGTCGCCTTTCCAACTCCTGCTTGAACTGAACCTGACTTTCGTTGTATGCGGTTCTTCTCCTCTTCACGCTGTTCTTTCCTCAAAGCACTAGCTGCATTTCGTAACTCGCTACTATCTTCTGTGAGGATGCTCAACACACTGCGGTGTTGGACCCAGCCTTTTTCCTCTTCCATCTGGTGCATTTTCGAGTCGCCCCCGTAGGTTATCTTACCAAATTTCTTAGGATCCAAAGTACAACACTTAGAAGTGTAAGCATTCGCTTTCTTGTTGTCCTGCTTCTTTTGCTGACCTCCTTTTCCTCCTCGTGCTGCTCCAGCAGGAGCTGCAGCATTAGCAGTAGTGCCAGAACTGGAACTACTGCTCGTCGTGAAAGTATAATTGTTCTGTCCATCTACTCCACCTTTCTTCCTCTCTGCAGCAGCAAGATTTTTCCATTGCTGAAGCTGTTCAACCATGAGAAGACGCTCACGACTCGCAAGAGCTAGCCTCTGTGCAAGCTGTTTTTCCTGTTCCTGCTTTTCGCGTTCCTTCTGCTTTTTCTTGGCATAAAAAGCGCGCTTTGCTGCCTTCCGCTCGAGACATGTATTTGACTCAGATGTTGATGCAGCTAGTGCTCCTGATTCGTCACCATCATCATGCTGTAGCTGTTGCTTGTCCACGAGAACAATAGGAAGTTCTCCCACTGACATCTGGGGCTGTTTTTGAATGGCAACATCCTCCAGTGGTAAAAGGTGTTCAACTTGTTCAACGGCCGGTTTATTAGGAGTAATATTATCTTCATCTGCTCTATCTTGATCTTCAATCTCAATGAGTCGACTACAGTTTCTCCCCACAAGAAGTCCAACGTCACCAAAAGGGCTAGGTTCGAGATCACGAAAGTCGTCATTTTCAGGAGGACAGTCGGAAGAGTTTTCTTCATCATGCTCGCGCACATCGCCGACATCTACAGGCGGATCAGCAGGAGCTAGTACCATTGATTTCATCGCTGCTCCTGCATCGTCTGGACCTGGTGGAGCGGATGATACAGTTAAAGCTGATGTCGTGGTAGCAGCACTTGCTTTAGTTTTATCGTCTCCTGTTGTGGTTGTGGTGATAGGAAGTTGTTGTTGTAGCACTAATGAAGTAGTAGCCTGGTTCTGCATACCATCGTTTTGACCCTCTATTTCAACCTTTCCGTCTACTCGCCCAGTTGTCAGGTTCTTCTTCACAACTAGAGGGTCAAGGCGACCTCCATAGGGTGAAAAATCTTGAGAATCGCTGTCGTAATACGAAGCAGAGTTTGAGGAACTAGATGCTGGCGATTCCGAAGTAGTGCCTTCATCGTCTGCAGAAGATGATGCATCTCCTTTTCCATCTTCGCCTCCAGCACCAGCTGCACCAGCTTCCGTAGTAGTTTTGCTATCGTCAGCGGGCTTCTCTGTTTTCTTCTTTAGCAATCGACGTCCAGCTTTGCCCTTCTTGCCTTCTGCGCCGGTCTCAACGGAAGGACAAGCGTCTAGCTTCGATTTCGCTTTCGCTTTGCGCGTTCTCGGCTTTTTCGCAGCCACTACCAGGTTTCCGTTTTCGTCATACACTGGCTCTTTCTTTTTCTTTTCTGCTCGTTGCTTCTTCACCTTCGGTTCCGGGACTGGTGCCAGCCTCACAAGCTCGTTCTCAAACGTGTCAGCTCTTGTCCAGACCAAAGGTTTCTGCAGCAGCCTCTGCGGAATACCTAATCCAATTAAGTCGTGTTCTACGCTGACTCCCAATTCCAGCAACGCTGCTCGCAGAAATCTCCCTTCTTTGAACTCAAATTTCTCATCGTCGTTGAACGGTTCGAGGACTTGTTTTATGAAGAGTTTGGGTTTCAGATGGGGATACTTTTTACGCCAAAAATCAAACGCAGAAGGCGCAACTGTGAACACAGGATGTTCATCTTCTTCATCGGCGATTTCCTCTTCTGTGAGGAGTTTCTGAAAGGACACGGTGTGTGAGGTAGTAGTTGTTGTGGTCGTAGCCACACTAGTGCCTGCTGTAGTTTCAGCTGGTCCAGCTGTAGCAGAAGTAGTTCCAGTAGAAGTAGCAACTGCTGCTTGCGCTTCACCAGCAGCACCAGAAGAACTGCTAGTGGCTCCGTGAGGAACTTCCACTTCCGTAGTGGTCGTCTCCACTTTCACTCTAAATCCACAAACATCCTTGTGAGACAACTTTGGCTTGTTGAATTGCTGTGCTTTGAATCGATTTGCCGTAGAAACCAGAGGCCGTCTTGAACCAACTGTCTGACGGCTCATCACACTGGAGGCTACACTAGAAGTGCTGTCACGTCGTTGTCGAGGAAAAAAGCCGCCAGCTGGTGGCAAGGTGCCCAAATTACGTAGGGAAGCACCTCCTGGAGTCGTTGCGCCAAGTAGGCCTCGTGCAGCTAGAGGTGTAGGCTGACCTCCAGCACCAGCCTGGGAAGCAGGAGTGGGAGCTGGGGCATTCGTACTACTAGAACTACTACCACTAGAAACGGCACTTGCATTCGTATTATTGACAGACGTCGCACGAGACTCTGGGGCATTCGTATTGTTGACAGGCGTAGTTCCGACAAGTGGCGTCCTTGCTCCAAGACGCCCAGGTGTGCCAAGCGGTAGTTTACTTGGAGGTGCACCTAACAAGCGCGGAGGACCACCTGCCGTTGACGAAGAGGATGCGGCCACACCTGCGCCTGCACCTGTGCCAATTGAGTTGTTCGAAGATGCTGTTGTAGAAGTTTCACGCGGTCCAAACGACTTCAAAGTACGTCCTAGTAGTGCGTTTCCCGCACCTCCTGCAGCTGATGTAGTAGTACTGGCACCACCTCCGAGGCGTCGAACTGGCAGCCTACGTCGGCCGACGACAGACGACGCTGCGACGGAAACAACACTTCCGGCATCGCTCACTGCATCATCATTTTGCGAGGGCGGAATAGGTGAAGGTGCAGTGATGTTCAACTTCAACGAAGTCGAAGATGTCGAAGGAACGGCTGGGTGGACGACCACAGGCACATCAGGCTGCTCTGGGGAGGCAGGTGGCCGCTCAACACTGGTTGTAGGCTCACTGGTTGTAGTACTCGAGGATACCTTCATTGCAGCTGCAGGTGGTGGATCAACATCTCTAAAAGCTTCTGGCTCCGCGGGAGTCGTATTAATGTTCGTCTTAGGTGCAGGTGGTGGCGCAGCAGCAGTACAACCAGTAATATTTGCGAGGACTGCATCCTCTACCGCCGCTGCTGGACTCTTCGATGACGGAATAACCACATCTGACTTAGAAGGTTTCATATCTTCCATCTCCTGAACTTCTCCTGCCTTCGTCTCCTCAGCTGGCGTTGCTTCCATCAAATTAGACTTCGAGGCTACGTCTATTTCCGGAATAGTCTTGCCAGCCAGAGAACCAATAGGATGCGAAAACAAAGCATCCTTCAAGGACGCCGTTGCGGGATTGATCTGTTGTAGTTCCTTTGCTGGCGGAGTAATGCTAATGTTGACAGCTGTACTAGGTGGAGATGGTTCTTGTTGTGGTGGTAGTTGTATTTCACCCTTGTTGTGCGAAACAGTCGTGACATCTTCTACCTGCGACTTCGACACTGATGTGACGTCTACTTCTATCTGCGATGGCAAGGTCAGCACAGCTCCACCTGAAGGAGTCCCAGCTGCTGTCATGATCATTGACGACTGAACTCCTGTCGAAGAAGGAGGTGCCGTTGTCGCAGGTGTTGCCGGTCCTACTTGTTTTGCAGATGAAGGTGGTGCAGACGTCGTCCTCGAGAAAGTAGCTTTACTGGAACAAGATGCTGTTGAAGAACCCAAACCGCTACCGCCCACACTCACTCGTGCCGTCGTACCACTAGATTGCTGTCCAGCGGTGGTCGTAGGTGTAGTCAATCCGAGTGTCTTGCTAGATAGCAACAACCTTCGCTTTGGAGCAACAAATCTGGCACGTGTTGACGTGGCATTCGAATAAACGGATGACGCAGGACTTGGAGGGACTGCGACTGGAGCTGGAGTCGATGGAGCTTCGATAGAAGACGGCGGCGCTTCCGTAGTGCCTTTTTGTTGAAGAGTCTTATGCTCATCTTGCGGAGGTACAAGTTGCGAAGAACTGGTGGGTTGCGACGAGGACTGTCCAGTTTGAGAATCGCCTAGAACAAGTAGAGCCTTCGCAGGAGGCTTTTCTGCAAGAACATCAGCGGTGTTCGTTCTTGAAGAGGCACTGGCAGTTGTACTTTGTTGAAGAACAAAAGGTCTAGAGAGACTAGAAGATGGCGTGGTTGTCCCAGATGCAGCTGGGCCCAGACCAGCAAGCGAACCTGTTGTGTTGGTACTCGTATAGGAGCCACCACGACCTGTATTACCCGGCGCTCCTGTAGTTCCACTTCCAACTACAGGCGGCCGTCGTGTTACAAGCAATCTCCTTCGTGGACCAGGACGAGGTTGCACAGAAGTACCAGATATGGACTTAGCGGTCCCAGTACCTCCAAAAACGCTACTCGTAACACTAGCCTCACTCGCAGCTCCATCTTCGTCAAGAACATCGGCTTGACTTTGTTCCGTTGCAGTTGCGAAAAACTCTTCCTGGGTTGCACTTACACTTCCAGCTGGGACTGGAGGCTTGTGGTCGACTTGAGACGGACCCGCGGTCTGTCGCTTGACAGATGGCAACAGCCGACGTTTCGGCGCAACAGCTAGGCGGCTGGCGGTAGAATACACACTCCCAGCATCGGACAAGCCATCGTCAGAAATCTGGGAAGCACTCGGAGCTCCTGATGGAACGTTGTTGGCATTCAAGCCGGCGCGTTTGGGTAGCACTCTACGCATTTTTTTTGTTATTGATTTCAGACGAGAGCAAGGATGTATGGGCTTCTCGTTCTACTCGGGAAAAAAGTGTAGATCTGTCGAGAACTCCAAACGTAGCTCATGATGATTGTGTTAGTATTTTCGTCAAATGATGTTGAAAATTGATATTCTTGACCATGTTTGTAAATGTAAAAATCATGAAAAGCACACTAGACGAGGTCGTTTTTCAAAAAAAGTTCAAAAATTCGTTTCACAACTTGGGTAAACATTCCGCTCTTGGGATGTTGAATGGATTGTCTCCTGTTTGATGCAGAATTTGGTAATGTGTATGTGACTCACAGCAGTCACAGCTTTTCTGTCGGTCAGTTAAAATCAATACTGATTTCTCACTCGAATCCCTCTGTTCACTCAAAAAAATGAACGAAACAAAACGATCGAACCGACGAAGCAAGGAACGAAACGAGAGCAGCGACGACTTCTTGTCGATACAACATCGAGGACCAGACGAGAAGCTGCATCTTCAATTTATGTCTTCACCTTTGGATGGACCGATGATACAAAAACCCAAAAAACTGAGAAATCTTTGAGCACAGAGTTGACATCCGTTTGCTGCATCAACAACTGTCCTCCTTTGGAAATTATGAGATTGACACCAGATGACAAGAAGAACAACTTGACTGGAGCTTTGTGAAGACCTTTTTTAGGTGTTTACTGTGTAGTTCTTGGATTGAAAATCGGAATGACTGTACAAAAAACTTTAGCTTTGTTCTATTTAACCAGTCGCCGAACTGAGATGAAGCTCGTTGAAATTCTAGATCATACATCAAACTTTCGATTTTCTGCAAAAGAAAGTGTTGACAACTTCGTGAAGCTTGCCGCGAAGCTGAAGGTTGTGGCTTCTATGCTATGAAAACATACTCCCTCCGTCCGCTCGAAAATGCTCATCCACTTTTCGGAAGTCGTCCGTCGTGTAGACTTTTTGACCTTTCAAAGGATCATCTCGACAGAGAGGACAGCTTTTATTGTGCTCCAGGCTTTCCATGATGCATGCGTCATGAAATAGATGTCCGCACATGGGCATCTTCTTGGCTTTCTTGCCTAGAGGTTCTAAACAAATCGTGCATATCGCACTTTCGTCGTCATTGGGTACGATGCGCAGTTCGTGACGATCTAAGTGGTGAACAGAGCGAGGGTCTGGAGTCGGTTCGAACAGGTTGGCGATATTCGCTAGACCTCCAGTTTAGAGCTCATCCTAATCCATCCCGAAATCCCATCCTGAGACCGTTTCCCCCTTGAAAACGTCTCTGAGATACTTTCCAAGATCATGGGTTAGGGGAAGCCATAACCAGTGCCTCCACCTTGAAGTTGTGCTCTAATGAAATCCTCAAAATTTGAGTCCATTCCTCCAAAACCACCGCCAAAAGGGTTCACTCCTGGTCCTCCTCCGGCCTCTGACCTTCGATCCCGTTCTGCTTGCTCTCTTCGACGCTGGAGTTTTTCAGCAGCGAGCTTTTCCCTGGCATCTTCGTCCACCTCCTCTAATGACTGCTCAACGAATTTACTGATTCTGGATCTCATTTTTTCTTGTTGGGCCGTAGCTCCACAACCTCCTCCATCTCGTCCACCGTGGTCTCCCCCAACGCGGCCACAAGAACTGTCGAGTCTAAACTGCAAGGACAGAAAAAAGTCCAATCCGGATTGCCAGAATATCGGGTTTGTGTGTCTTGTCGTCAACACCACATGGCATCGATCCGCTACACGTAGTAAGGCTTCGTCAACTTTCCCGTTACCAGTATCCTGTTCGCTGAATCTGCTGAACTCTTGGCACGCTGGCCGAAACTTCTTCTTGAACGAGAGGTCGGATTCGAGTGCTAAGATTCGGGAAACGGTTTCGCTAGGGTCCTCTACTGGAGGAGCGGTGGCGCCAGGTGCGGGCGGACTGGCTGTCGTGCTGGACATTGCTGATCATCTAGTAGCTGTAACTTGTAAGAATGGTGGAGAGCACGATACAATGACGATGCGAGGAAGCAAAAAGTACTTGTGAGTAGAAAACAAAACTTTATTCAAGGAAAAAAAAAATTTTGGGAATGGGAATGAAAATCAAAATCTTGTTGCTGGGGGTGGAGCGGGAAACTACCTGTAGGATTTTACAACTAATATTGGGAAGCAACGGATTATAGATTCAGATGGTGATAGAGATCGCGATTGCCTGCTAGCACAAAACAGCATGTAGTGATCATCATGTCCCTCAGAGCGATGCATCCAAGGGAAAATCGATTGGTAATTCACTTCATCTTCGCTCGTCTTTTAACAATTAACGCAACAGTTCACCAAAGGAACAATCTACGACCGCTTGCCTGCAGCTCGAGATTAGCAAAAAACACGTTGTACCTATACATCAGTCTTTCTTGTACTAGCACGCTGGTTAGTAGTCGTAGATGGTAAAAGGACGGAGAAGTCGTGTCAAGCTAAGAGACTTATTCTAATGATGTGTTGTGTCAACATAACCATGCTCAAAAGTAGTGTCTTCAGTGTAAGAGAATCCTGCAATACTTTCAACATCCGGGACAGTCTCTAGTACTGATAGTTAGATATTACTATGAGATTTCTCACAAAAAATTAGATACATAGGTTTCATTTTGTATGAGAGGTGGATGTGGATGCGTTACAGTGATTATTTGCGAAGTGTCATCAAGATAAAGTGAAACAAAAGGGCAAAAACGAATTAACGAGTACTTCTGAGTAAAACATAAAAAAGTGGTAGCTAGCGTTTTAGTTATGGCTGTCCATACACCATCGTCTGCAACAGCTCTGATGGACCCGCTGCCTCCCCAGCGTTACCGCCTCCCGCGGAGCACAGGTTGTTAAACTCGAACCCGTGTCCTAGGAAGTAATTTCGGGTTGCTTGTACCCCTACTGCAATCGAGGATATGCATATCACTGCTGCCATCGACAAGATCACTGGCGCTTGTCGACTAGCAAACGTTTTGGCGATGACGCCTTGGCCGATCATCGTGAAGGTGAAACCCATCGTGAAGGCGAAGAGGGAATAGTCGACATAGAGGACGTTGAAGAGCAGATAGCACACGCAAGCGGTCGAAGAAGTGAAGAAAATCATCGTGCTGTTTATTTTTGAGGGAGTGAAGAAAATCATCGTGCTCTTTTTGATTGGTCCTTTTCGAGAGCTAGGGTTCTTGCGAAGGATCTTCATCTTTTTGAATTAATATCCCAGAGCAAGGTGATGAAGGCCAAGGACGTATTTAAGCAGGATGAAAAATGTTAGCATTGTACTAGACCTTCATGTTCATGACAATCTGGAGATCAATTCGTAGTATCACGTCAAAGTGAGCTGGGTTTACGGGTTGGAAAAAAAGGCTCTCGCCTCATGAGACCATCGTGAGAAACGCTTCTTCTCATCACTGTGATGCTATTTCTTTGATCATTTTGATCGATATCGTCCTCGAAAAAAGAACATATTTATAAGCACCAGATTAACTTTTCAGCTTCTGTTAAAAAAATCAGCATGCACTACTTGAGGTAACAGAGCGACCTTCGACAAGAATCAAACGGAAAGTAGTTACTAGTGGTATGATTAAGTACGCAGCCGTTGCACTGGCGACTTTCGGCTCCACACCAAGAGCAAGCATCAAAGGGCCTTTGACGATGCCTCCACCTACGCCGAACATTCCTGCCATCAATCCTGCGGCTGTGCAGATAGCTGGATATGTGATCGTATTCCGTCGGTCCCATTGGATGGTGTCGCTGGGTAAGGATGCTGCTTGTGGAGGTGGAGACTGAGCATATGTCGAAGGGGGTGGAGCTGCTAGAAGACCTGGTCTTCTCGTAGTTTCTACACCTGTAGTTCCCGTTCCTGCTCCTTCGTCGATCACCATCATATTGATGTTATTGGAACAATTATTTGTTCTGATTCTTCTTGTCCCCGTTCCAATACCATGATCTTCTGAATCGGGCGACGAACGGTGCTTGCTATTCTTGCCACTGTTGAGTATCTGTTCTGCCGAAGCTGGTGTCGAAACGCCAGACCCAGAGAAACTACTAACACCAGATGAAATAGCTGTTGTCGTTGCTGAAGGCGGGAGGGCTCTGTTTCGCGCAGCTTGCCCACTTCCTATCTTCGGTGTCGTAAACGCTGCTGAGGCATCTGTTACAGATACAGCAGCTACTCGTTGCTCCGGATGAATCACGTCTAACGCTTGGTGGGAAGCTACAGTTGATGTGCCGTCTAATGCTTGGTGCGAAGCTACGGTTGATGTGCCGTTGAACAACTGGCTCTCCATGCATCTAGCACTGGTCACGGAGCTCACACTACTAGACGTACCGCTTGACCTTGCGCTTAGTGGGATAGCGCCAGAGGAATGATGGTAGCCGGTCTCGGCCTTTGCAGCCTCTAGGTCGGCCAGAATGTGCCTACGGTAGAGCCAGAGGAAGAAAACTATGACTGGTATGTTGAGAAGTGTGAGAGCCCAATAGCCGACCGTTCCGCACTCAGCCACAGGCTGAAACTTATGGCCATCTCCACGTACAACTTGCAGCACAAGCCCGATGATGTAGAGTGGCATGAAGGCGAGGAACTGTGAGAGGTGGTCGCGGCTTACGTTTAGGTTTACGGCGGATTCGAGCAAAGTAGATCCAGATATAGTACTAGCTGAAGGATTCATCTTCAAACTTCAAAACTCAAAAAAGATCGGCTTCTTTCAGTAATCACGTTCACGTCATCATCTACAACTAGGGCTAGGAGCCCTAGTAGCGTCACCAAGTTGTTGTATTCGTACCTTAGCCCACTGCGACGCTGATGATTTCCCCACCTCTCGCGATGATGGCATTCTGCTTGAACTGAGAGGTTCCGCTGGCACGATCAACAATGGATTTGCGGAACCTCCGGATGCGACAGGTGCTGGCCCTAGTAGCCCTTCTGCGTCGAACTGCTTTGACGGATTCGGGTTTGGCGCAGTTATCTTTATTGGCGGAGCATGATGTGAGGGATCACCTCCTTGTCCTTCTATGAAAGGAAGAAGTGCACTCACGCTCAAGAAGTTGGCTCGGAATGAAGTAAGAAAGTAGCTACTTGCTTAAGTGTCGTGAGAGTGTGAGTGCACTTTTTTCTTTCATACCTTCCTGTTCCTGGCCGAAATTATTGTGGTCTCCATTAGTACTACCCCACCATTCCGTTGTGGGTGACGCTGAAGAAGACGTAGACCTCGAAGATGAGGTCCCACTTGCGAGGGGGTAGGTTGGGGCAGGGGGCGAAGTTATACTTCTAGGGTCACGACTAGGCATAGGCTTTAGTGTGAGAGTGCCACCGAGAGGATCAGCATGATGTGTTGGGATGGAAAGCATGTTGCTCGAGGGTGAAGTTCCTGATGTTGTACTAGCTTGTTGTTGTTCTTGCCGCAATCTTTTGAAACCTTTTTCCAAGGTGTTTTGGCCCATGTAGAGCAAAATTCCTGTCAACATGCACTGTAGCGCAAAACTCGGCAAGACTTTGTTCACCAATGTCCCTGCAACGGCTCCTAGAATCGTACTCGGTTCCATCAAGAGGATGATGTCCCAATCTATCAACGGACTGCCACGATCAGTCTTTTTCCTCAAATTTTAGAGCTACCGCGTCGCATCCCTGATTTAGATCTACCGCCCCCGAGAGGACTCTTTTTCCCCTTAAAAAAGTAGAGGGCAAGACTGATGCTGAGGATGTTCTCGTCGTGATTGCCTTAAAGATTGAACAAGGCATTGGCGATGGAGCCTCCGAAAATGGTGACGTTGCTAAGAGCGGTTGCGTTGCCTGTGGGGAACTGGAGAATCATGATGTAAAGGGGAACGAGAAACGCGCCTCCACCAATGCCACCACATGCCGCGATCAAGAGACCAATCGCAACGAGGGAGAACGTGATGATGTCATCTGCAGGTTGGTGTTACAAGTGGAAATGATTACGATTACGACGTGCTCTTAAAAGTTAACCGAACAAAAAAACAGATGAACCAACTACAATGTTGAAGTTAATCTAACGAGTGCTTCTACTAGTCTAACTAGTCGAACGTCAAAGTAAGGAAACAACGATACAAAACTCAAAAGACAAGTCGTCCCCAAGCAGGAAACATATCTATCTTCAGTACGTGCATTGGGAGGCCAGAGGTCTTTCACAGCTCGTTTATTCTCGCGCCTTTCCTTGAGGAAATCCGTCTCACTTTCTGTCAGCGCATTCTGAGCGACTGTGCCCAAGATCGAAAACGTATCCTCTAAATCAGACAAAGGGTCAAGATCGTCTTGCGAAGGCGGTCTCGTCGGGTCTACTTGAGGTGAAACGTCTAATTGCGTCTGCGTGGTAGCTACTTCTGAAGAAGCCTCATCTGCACCTTCTGACGCTCCTTCTGCGTTAGCCGTGAACAATGAAGACGCTTCTTCATCGTTCTCTTCTTCCCTTCTCCCTGCGCCAGTAGTACTAGTACTATTTGATGCAGTTGCAGCACCTATTGTTGTGCTTTTTCGTCTCCCCTTGTTATGCGGGTCGTGTCGTCCAGACTTTACTACAGTTTCGTTCGCTTCCTCTGCGTCACCTAGTGGGGGATCCTCATCAACACCCTCTCGCTCTAACCGCTGGGTCTCTGCAAGTTCCACGACACGGCTCTGTTCAGAAGTATGATGGTTCCTTCGCTGATCAAGGCGCGCTTCATCCTTCTCCACCGCGAGGACCTCATTATCACTTCGCTGTAGTATTCGCTTCGATGCAGCTTCCAGATCCGCTATTTCGTCACGTTGTCTGGCATTCTTAGACTCTTCAACAGACCGAGGATCGACTGCGAGCGCGTGCGTCAGGTTGATGTGGTCGCAAGGAGGGGTGACTAGGAATAACCGCGTTGACAGCAGAGTGAGGAGTCCTCGTCCGATCTTTAGTTTGCGGCACATTGATGACTGGGAACGCTCCTGTGTGGCTTGCGGGTGGCTCACTACTGCTAGAGACGCCGAAAGATGACGAAACATTTTTTTAGCTTTAATGCAGCAGGTACTTCATTAGTACTAGAAGTCGGCATACAACGCTATTAAGTAGATTGATATACGTCCACTGTAAAAAAAGAACAACGAGAACTGCATATGCGTAAGCGCATAATGATGATCTATTTCTATTCCTATATTTATTATAAATGCAGCTAGATCTACGATTAATTTGCGACGAGTAACAGAATAGAGCATGTGCCGCGGCTAAGACCAACTCTCACAATCCATCAAGTTTTTGCCATCCACCCACCACTTGCCTTATCTTTTTGAAATTACGACGTTCCTGCTTTCAAAGGTAGTTGGGGTGCTGGTTGACGTGGCGGGAGGGACTAGTGAATTTTCTAGTGATGTGCAAGAATTTCATCATCTACTGCATTCTTGTGCAAGATCTCTCCTTCTCCTTGGCTACTAGAACAACTCTTCTTGCTGATATTCTCACACATTGCTCCTGCGGTTCTTCCATCGTGAACTGACTAGGGACTTACAACATGGATGATCAGACCCAACTTTCAAGAGGAAAACAATGCACAGATGAACGTTTTCTGATGACGCGTCACGGCCGCTGCTTATGGTACAAATATTTTGTAATACGAGCACGTCTAGAAACCGTTGAACAATGCGCACACGGTCCAAGGCCGTTACGCTCACGGCACGCTGGCAACCACGACCAGTTCCAGTATACTTGTTGGCTTTTCTTGTATTAATTCTTGTATTCTTCAGCGCGAGTCATCACAGGTTGAAAACTGCTGGGAAGCAGTCTGGTTGTTGACAATTCAATCTCAATCTACAAATCCTTTTTGTGCAGCGCGTGCGTTTATGTTGTTCAGATGGGCGCTGAATGACAATTGCGAATCAGAACAATCTTGTTGCCATGTGCTGCAGCTCTTCTAACAACATAATTGCGTTGATTGTCAAATTGTGAATAATGATGAGGATACGACCATATTCATCTTCATCAAGAACTAGGAGCTATCTTTAGATACACGATTGGATTCGGAGATGGTGCAGGAGATCCGCTCGACAAAACGAAACAAAAATCGAATCTCGTCGTCCCGATCAAAGACCGGCACAGCAGGAACGATCCGATTTTACGCTCACGCTCAACGCTTCGCGATGAACCTTGTTTTTAGAAGATAGAAGAGTTTACGATTGTGTAGAAAAAGAATTCTACTACACGATTGCACCACATGATCGTTTGACATCTTCGATACTAGCGATTAGTGGTGGTCCCAAGATAGAAGAGCCTCTTCCTCTACTATTTTTATTTACTTGTTGGTTCTGACAGATGAACTGCACAATTTTTGCCACTACTACTACGTCAAAAATCTACTTAGTTCGCCACCGCGATGCCGACTAGCTGCGAAGCCTGATTTTCGACTGCGGAGTAGCTCTTTTGCGCTTGAGCGAAGGTCAAGCTGCCCTCAAACAACTTGCAAATCAAACCGGGGATATCGTTCAGCGGGACTCGGATCTGACCGCAACTGTCGCGTTCTCTGACTGTTGCCGCGTTCAGTTCGAAGGTATCCAAATCGATGGTAATCGCAAATGGAATACCGAGTTCGTCATTACGTGCATAGCGTTTGCCGATAGTAGCGCCAGTGTCATCGAGAGTGCCAGCACAGTTGAGGACAGCAAAGTCCTTTTTGAGTTGCTTCACAACGGAAGCAAATCGGTCATGGCGCTTCACCTTGTTGTCGACTGGGAGGATCGTGTACTTGTACGGGGCCATGTTGGCGGGAAGGCGGAGGTAGGCACGCTTCTGAGCGTCAGCAGCGGCGTTGGGCTGTTCAGTTTTAGTTTGATGAACATTAGGTGGATGAAGATGTTGATGACCTTCTAGTAGGTGAGTAGATTTCGCGATCAAGATGTTGTGCGTGAATTTTCATGAAGAAGTGAGGGTTGAAACAACTCATTTTTTAGTAGCCATCTCAAGTACTAGAGAAGGCTTGTAAAAAAAAAATGAAATGTTTCAACCCTTAAGCTTAAAAGAACATCGATCATTGTAATCCAACACCAGATTATCAAATTCAAATCAAAATGAAGTGTCCTCTATAACAAGAAGTACGTCCGCCGGCCTCTCCTGGTATGTGTGTTCGAATACGCTGAACATCATACGATCAATGCCGAATGCCGGTTCGATGACACCTGGTGTATAGCTGATTGTCGTCACTTTCTCCTTCTTCGTAGTTGTCTTGAATTTCTCAGCTGGAATTTCGTGAGTTTCGTCAGCCACTGTAACTGACACCGCTTCTCCAGCGTCTGCCTTGGCTTGCAACGCTCTAAGGGACTCGTAGTCCATAGCTTCCAAGGCCTCCTTTGTCGGTTTGCCAGCTTTCTTCAAATGCTGCATGATCAACTTCGCAGACTCCTTAGTCAATTCCGTCTTATCGACCTCAACCGGGTCCTGCAGAGTCTCTCTGACCTTCAGATCCTGCTTTGTGGCGTTGGCATGAGCGTTCAAGTCATAGCAAGATCTGTTGGCGATTCCAACGATCTCCAACCAACCGTAGGAAGTGAGTGTCTCTGCATCCCAGCAATCGCAGGCGTAGTGTGCCATCTCGGTTTTAAGATGCTGCCGGAAGCGGATGTGCTCAGGATTGCAGCCGATTTTGACGAGGAACAAAAACGTTCGAGCGATGAAATAACCCATGGTCTGATTGGCGTCACGGATGATGCCAGTATCCAATGCTTCCTGGATGGAAACGGCCTTTGGCTCCTCACCAGCCAGCTGGACGGCCTCGCCGAACCTGATTTGAATATTCATTTTTTGGTCGACCGGTTCCTGATGGAGAAAGTGCTTGAAGATGTGCTGTTGTTCAACAGAAATGAAAAATGGTTTTTCAAACAAAAATCCTCTTAAACAAGAAGAACTCTATCTTAACATCCTTCAAAAGGAATAGTACAAGCAAATCTTCAAGTCTTTGATTTCGCAGTATTTCGGATGGTCGTATGCGCCAGGCTTGATGAACCATTCGATTTCAGCCTGCTGGAATTCACGCATCCGCGTCAAGCCGGCTCTTGGCGCGATTTCGTTTCGGAAGACCTTGCCAATTTGCGCGATGCCAAATGGCATGCGCTCACCATTCTGTTCCTTGCAGAACTTGTAGTTCAGGAAAGTGCCCTGAGCAGTTTCAGGTCTCAGGAAACCTTTCTCGCCGCCGACTGGACCGATCGGTGTGGGGAACATGAGGTTGAAAGCGACTGGCTCAGTCAACGGGTTCCCAGATTCGGGAGCGCGGATTTGGTACTTTTCGAAAACCTAGAAGTGGTTCGGAAAATTAATACCTTTATTTTTTTCGACTTCTTTGAATAAAAAATGGAAAAATAAAGTCATATTTTTAAAGTAGAAGTGGTTTCTTAGACCAACAAAAATCAATTACCTCAACCAATCCCTTCGCATCGAAGCCATCAGCACTGTTGATGACAACTTTGTATTCCTTTTTCAAATTTTCATCCTGTGTGCCAGCGATTCTCTTTTCCATCTCCTCTTCGAGGAGCTTGTCAGCTCGCCAAAACTTTTCTGGGTTCAAGCTATCCTTGACTACGAAATCAGAAAACTTCTCAACGTGACCAGAGGCCTTCAGGACTCGCTCCTGTTGATTTATATGTAAGTGGTATTCATTGGGGGTTGATGCCATGGTGTAGGAACAGGACAAAGAAATGGTTGGATGAGCAGGTAGTCTATAATTATATTCGGATGAATGAAAACGAGTCGAAGTCTGTAGAAAGTGTTAAAAATACAAATAAGTACTCAGCACCCTCACGCCCACGCTAGTAACGATAGCGAAAAAGTAACTTGTTATAAGTTCCTTTATCGTTAGGTTAGGTTAGGTTGTGAACCCTGCACATCGAGCCCCCCGGCACCTGGCTAGTCCTTGGGTGACTAATAATCAAAGTTAAACTTAATTTTAATATAGTTGAAAAGCAACATCTTGTTCTACCTGCATAATGCACGTATCTTCGATTTCCATCAAATCTTCTTCGACAACGAAGTGCTGTCTCCACAACGCAAATAAATTGTTCTTCATAGCGCAACCTGGTGGGCCGTAGGCGAAGAAACCGGCAGCGCCACCGTAGATATCGGAAGCTTGGCGGAAGAAGAAACGGCGCTTCGTGAGCCCCTCCACATCTGGACGTGCGTCCACGTACTTTTTGTTGCTTGGAGCAGCCATTTTGATTGTTGTTGGATTGGTGGTTGTTGTGGTGAGGGCTGATATGCTTATGTTAGTGTTGTAGGTATTTTTCAACGGGTACCACGAGCTGGAAAATGAAAAGTAGGAACAAGATCCAAAATGTTTACTGCGATTGAAGAGAATACAACTTGTAGTCCTCGTAGGTATAATAGCTGCTATTGGGGTAGTGAAAGAAAAAGAAAAGACACTTCTTACAATATTACGTGTTCTTCCACTTGTCGTTGTTCGTATAATTCCTGTTGTACTAGCGATTGGTGAAGCGGATATAGTTTTCAAACAATCAAGCATTCGAGTCGTGTTCTACGGTCGTGTATTCTTATTTTTGGTCTTCCTCACGTGTTCTACTACTTATTCTTGTTTTTCCTCAATCACATCTCCCTACGCACACTTTTGATTATCCTTGGAGTTGAACTAGTACTAGGACCCACCTATGAAGATCATGAAATTGTGACAAAGCAGGGTGGAAGTAAATATCATGCTACTAGGATCCTCGGTCAGATCTTCGTGGTCGAGTGGGATTTTATTTTGATTTTCATTATTGTCGTGATGAGCATTATCAAACATTTTCAGTCATGTAAAAGCAACTGCATCAAGATCGCTTTCAACAGCCATCATGATCTTTCCTCGACTTCTAGGTGATCTTCCTGTAAATTTCGATCATGTCAATCATCGTGCGATGTGAAGCTGCGCAAGATCTTGTTTGGGAGGTTTGGATTTGAAGACTTCAGGAAAAGTCTCTTTTTTTGTATCCTGGGGCTACTGAAAGAGCGGCCTGAGCTTTACCCGTTCTGGCCACCACCTGGGGCACAGTACGTTTCACACGCAACAGACACTGGACCAGGGGTTCAGTGGACCAGGAGGTTGAAGAATTTTTAGAACACCGCGTTTATGCCTCACAACGGTTGCGAGAAAGCTCTTGGAGCGGAAGCGCGCCCAGTGCTAGCAAATGTCGCGCTTCTTGTGTTTTTATCTCTACAACTCAGAGTGTCGCTCCTCTTTTTACTCTCGAAGTAGCTGTAGAGCCAGCCGGTTTATCCTTCTCATGCAGTCGACGAATGTAGCCTCTACCCCCTGCTAACGCTGCATTTGGAAGAAACTTCAGACAAACTTCGCTACGCCGGGAGAGTCAAGAGAACAAATTACTCATATGAAGGCGGTAGAAAAGATTCGAAAACATGAGAGGCCAACTCTGTATGTTATAGAGCATGCGTGTGATTATGGACAGACTCACGAGAGGTCGCCTAGACTACACAGCAAAAAAGCATTGGAGTCTCAAAATAGACGACGGACGCAAGCATTCAAGTTTATAATTCCGATAATCAAAAAAGAAATCATATCAAAAATATTAAGGTGGCCTTTGAGTATGCGCCTGGCGTAGCATACCCTGAACTAGGTGTAGCTCAAGATATATTGGCACGACATCCTCATAATCACGTAGAAGGCTGGCACTTTAATTCTCCCATTGGATGCGAAGTAGAACGTTTCTGCACATCATTATTCCCATAACATCGCTGATGAGAGCCATGTGACTAACTGCTCGGCTTGCGTTGTTGATGCTCCATGAAGGAGCCATGTTGTCTAAAAAGTTGGAAGTTACCTGCTTTATGATGTTGTCACATGATGTGTTCATCTTCTTGCGCATCGGCGCCTACTCTAGTACGATCTTCGGTTTCATACATCTATCTTCTACAACATTTGGGTAGTAGTTCCTCTATGATTTGAAATTCAGTTCTTACTCTAGACTTTCAAGCCAGTTCATCCTCACCCAAGTACTCGCCTCTTTTCCTCGTTATATTAATGAAGATCCCCAGAAACGCCTTACCTCATGGATGCGTAGAGAAGGAGCTTAAGCTCAAAAATATGGGCGGCCCTTATTACTGGTGGATCTTCAGCACAATGAAAACAGACGTCAGTCGTGTCTTCATGCTCGTTGTAGTGGCAGTACCTATAACCTGAAGAAAATGGCAATAAATAGTACTAGTGTGCCCAGTTATGGGGGATAGAGGATTTACCTAGCAGCTGTCCTAGATTGACTGACTTCGAGATCTCCTGACAACAGACCCGGACTGTTCTTCAAGAGTCACAGAGCAGCCTTTCAGAGTCACATAGGTTCAGGGAAAATAAACGAGACAACAACTACCAGTGAAGGCGTGGTGACCTCTGCCTTTTATTCAGCTTAGCCTGCAGTTGTTGGCGCTGTCTTAAGTTTGGCACTAGTTTCTCTAACTTTACCTTGTCATCATACACTACCTAGACAAAAGAAAGAAAACTCTAAGCAAAACACCTAACCTACTCTTTGACTTAGCAGGGTACTTCAGGCGCGAAGCGTGTTACTTAAGTGTTGAGCTTTTAGACAGGAGGTTTTTATAACCGGCGCCGCTGATCTTACATCTTCTAGACTACCCTGCTTCTGCTTTCACTACACGAGAAGATGGCCTTGTACTAGCAGGGCTTGTTTCTACAAGCAGTAAGATCTTAGCCCCTTAACCGAACGAAGATATAACTGGTAAGCGTGAGATAAGAGCCGCGAATTACAGGCAGTAGTTGCTGATTCTTACTTATCGCATGATCACGTTGCACTATCTTTTGTACAGTGCCAGCTGTACGATAGTACCTACCCAATTAGAGTTATCAAGTAAATAAAAGGCCTTAACAATCTGCAGACACTTATGTTTGTGTAAGGGGGCACACGGGTGCGCTCAAAGAACAAAAAAAAATAGTAAGACACATACCGAACGAAGATTTAACGTCTCCTGGGGCACTCTGGTGCGGGGAGTAAGTTCTACTAGTGAATAATTATTGTCATGAAGGTGGAGTAGTTTACAGGAAGATCCGAAAATAGCGGGGGTTGGAGGTCTTGATTATTTCGCGGTGACCTTGATGAAGAGAGTCGGACGGTTTCTGATTTAGCAAGTAGAAGCAGAAACTTCCATTCAAGCCATTATCACAAGAGGAAGCCATCTGTTTACCGCAGAAGATGAAGAACATGTTCTGGCCATATCTTTTTGCTCTTAGGGCTGTCTACCGTACGTACGTCAATATATTTAACTACTCAGGAGAGGGAGGGCGGGAAAGAGAAAACGCAAAGGCTCGCGTTCCCAATTCGCGAGGACCTACTAGAACATCTTTCGCTCGCTTGTTTACATACCTGAGAACTCAAACATTTCTTGCACACATTAAAAAGAGCACTTTTCACGTTTATTTCGACGAGCCACTTACTTACTTCCATACAAGTCTACCTGACAGCTTACTTGGCTGCCAGAACCGCCCGCCTAGCCCCACCCCAAACCCGGCCCCCACCCGTGGTGCTCGCATCAGAATATAATACCTGGGATGAGGAGGAGGCGGGACGGTAGAGCCGGAAGAAGGTTAAAAACTGGTCGGAGGTAATCAGATGAGAGATACAAAGAGAAGAAACGAGAAACCGATGAGCAGTCTACACTATACTCCATAAAATATCCAGAGTGACAGTCTTCGCTTAGTCTGTTGTTCTTGTTGGAGGGCTGAAGGCTCTGTAATATTTTCTGTCACCAGGCTTTAAGTTATAGACACCAAACCACGCGAGTGGCCGTAAGGGTGTCAAAAAGATAAACACGGGTGAGTTAGTTCATTTACTTTCGAGTTCAAGAAACAGAGTCAAAAGTTTTGCGGCGTAGCAGTAGTAGTAGTAGTGTACCCAATCGTGGGGTATGTACGACACTTTAATTAGTTTGTTGCATTGAACTTTCTTTTTCCTCCGTCTTAAGATATAGCTGTAGTAAGACAGAGCGGATTGCTTAAGAAGTTTCTCAAACCTTAGGAAGGGTAGTAGTGAAGGAGCTGCAACGAGGATGTTCATGTTTCAAGTAGGAACTTTTTTCTTTACAAACTACGGAAAATCAAAGCAAGAAGAAACTTCGCAACAATCACAAAGAAACTGGTATTTTTTTTTTTTGAAAAAAGTATATTTGTATCTTACTACAGAATGGAGCTCTTGTAGGTGGACGTGGAGCATAGTAATCGGGCTCCTTGATCTACATAGAAGTACTTAATGGAGCGCGTGCAACTCTTTGAAGATCAACAAGACTTAGACTTCCACTCTTCATCTTTACAAGCTGCTGTAGCGTCTCCTCGTGCTCCCCCGACTATCAACATTCAGAACTAGCACGTTACTATAATTTTCTGTTGCGTGTTGTCCAAAAGGGACTCGCTATTTTTCCTCTTTTTACACAGGCGGAAAATACGACGGAGCAAAAACCAACGACGCCAGTCATCTTGCCAGTGGTCGGCCATTTGAGCTATTGCAAGCAACAAGAGAAATAATGGACACGCTTTTGTCGTGGTATAAACAACGACCGCGCGCCTATCTCATCTATGTCTATCACCATGCAGAAGATGGAGTTATTTTGTACTTTCAAGATGCCTACGGATGAAGGCTCATCTTCATTTATTCTTTCACTCATTTACCTAGCACGAAGTGTAAGTCCAGAACTTAATAATTAGAATACAACAGTAAGAAACAAAGAATTAGAATGCAACAGTAAGTAACAAAGAATTAGAACGCAACAGTAAGTAACAAAAACACGGCTTTTTTACAACAAAACAAACTCTTTTTAACCTTTTGTGAGTTAAAAAACTCCATGCTTGAGTGAATAGACCAACTCCATACTTGAGTGAATATACCAACTCTACCAAGTAGAGGCCAACGCGCGATCTTTCATTTCTTTTTTTAGCTATTTCTTTACTGCAGTCTTTTACTCGTTCACACTCTTTCGGCGAATGTCACGCAGATCCATATAATCCGAGTTCGACGAACAAGGAATACTACTTACATATAGATATATAAAAATATGTATTTTAAAGAATTTTACAAAACTCCCCGGGCCCGGGTGCCCCGGGAGACGTTAAGGAAGGGAAAAGGATACTTTAGGGACGTGGGCGGGGGTGAATGGTTTCACAAGGTGAAACGGGCGCCCGAAGTGCGCGCACTCCCCTCCGCGTTGCGGCAAAGGGGAGCGGGAGCGCGCTGACTTTAAATACAAGAGGGAGGTGGCAGCACTGCCACCGATTCCCTTTGAAAATGTGGCAGCGCTGCCAATCTTTTTAGTAAAAGGCTTATGACGTGCCTGCGATGATGAGACAGGAAGATCAGCGACAAGAAGTAGGAGAGCGAGGAGAAGAAAAAGCAGCGAGGAACAAGAGAGCGCGACACAGGAAAAGGGGCCAGAAAGGGAAAGAGGGAAACAACAAGCAAGCAAAGGATGAAGAGCAAAAGCAAAGGAGGACCAAAAAGGTGAAGGGAAACTGACCCCCCGCGGACACTCTCGAAGGGAATCAGGGGGGCCAGGATGGAGGCAGGCGCCGGCGGGCAGTGAAACGCGCACCACCACGGGCACCATTTTCAACGCGTTGGCCATAGCTGGCGCGGGTGTTCGCGGTTTGTTTCTTCTTTTCCGTCTCTTTGTCCCGTTCGTGGCCTTGGGTCTGAACTATAGCGAACAACAAGGACAAAGGAAAACGGAGGCCCGCGAGGGTCGTCCGCAAATTATAGCGAGAAGAGGGGGGCTTGGGCTATGTTCCCAAGATGGTGACAAGAGTGAGCAACCAGGAGGAGCCGGCGGGCAGTTAAACACGCACCACCACGGGCACCATTTTCAACGCGTTGGCCAAAGCTGGCGCGGGTGTTCGCGGTTTTTTTCTTCTCTTCTGTCTCCTTGTCCCGTTCATCGTGGCCTTGTGTCTGAACTGTAGCGAACAACAGAAACAAAGGAACGCGGAGGCCCGCGAGGGTCGTCCGCAAATTATAGCGAAAAGCAGGAGACCTTGCTCCCATAGTAAGAACAAGCAACGAGGAGGCGCCGGCGGGCAGTGAAACACGCACCACCACGGGCACCACCTTCAACGCGTTGGCCATAGCTGGCGCGGGTGTTCGTGGCCTTTTTCTTGTTTTCTCCCTCTTTGTCCCGTTCGTGGCCTTGGGTCCGAACAATAGCGAACAACAAGAACAAAGGAAACAAAGCGGAGGCCCGCGAGGGTCGTCCGCAAATTATAGCGAAAAAAGGGGGGCCGTGTTCCCAAGATGGTGACAACAGTAAGCAACCAGGAGGCGCCGCCGGGCAGCTAAACACGCACCACCACGGGCACCATTTTCAACGTGTTGGCCATAGCTGGCGCGGGTGTCCGCGGGTTTTTTCTTCTCTTCCGTCTCTTTGTCCTGTTCGTGGCCTTGTGTCCGAACTATAGCGAAAAACAAGAACAAAGGAAAACGGAGGCCCGCGAGGGTCGTCCGCAAATTATAGCGAAAAAAAGGGGGCCCCGTCCCCATAGTAAGAACAAGCAACCAAGGGGCGCCGGCGGGCAGTGAAACACGCACCACCACGGGCACCATCTTCAGCGCGTTGGCCATAGCTGGCGCGGGTGTTCGTGGCTTTTCTCTTTTTTTCTCTCTCTTTGTCCCGTTCGTGGCCTTGTGTCTGAACTGTAGCGAACAACAAGAACAAAGGAACGCGGAGGCCCGCGAGGGCCGTCCGCAAATCATATAGCGAAAAAAAGGGGGGCCTTGCTCCCATAGTAAGGACAAGCAACGAGGAGGCGCCGGCGGGCAATGAAACACGCACCACCACGGGCACCTCCTTCAACGCGTTGGCCATAGCTGGCGCGGGTGTTCGTGGCCTTTTTCTTCTTTTCTCCCTCTTTGTCCCGTTCGTGGCTTTGGGTCCGAACAGTAGCGAACAACAACAAAAACAAAGGAAACAAAGCGGAGGCCCGCGAGGGTCGTCCGCAAATTATAGCGAAAAAAGGGGGGCCGTGTTCCCAAGATGGTGACAACAGTAAGCAACCAGGAGGCGCCGGCGGGCAGTTAAACATGCACCACCACGGGCACCATTTTCAACGCGTTGGCCATAGCTGGCGCGGGTGTCCGCGGTTTTTTTCTTCTCTTCCGTCTCTTTGTCCCGTTCGTGGCCTTGTGTCTGAACTATAGCGAATAACAAGTACAAAGGAAAACGGAGGCCCGCGAGGGTCGTCCGCAAATTATAGCGAAAAAATGGGGGCCCCGTTCTCATAGTAAGAACAAGCAGCCAAGAGGCGCCGGCGGGCAGTGAAGCACGCACCTCCACGGGCACCATCTTCAACGCGTTGGCCATAGCTGGCGCGGGCGTTCGTCGCTTTTTTCTTCTTTTCTCTCTCTTTGTCTCGTTCGTGGCCTTGGGTCTGAACCATAGCGAACAACAAAGACAAAGGAACGCGGAGGCCCGCGAGGGTCGTCCGCAAATTATAGCGAAAAAAGGGGGGCCGTGTTCCCATAGTAAGAACAAGCAGCGAGGAGGCGCCGGCGGGCAGTTAAACACGCACCACCACGGGCACCATTTTCAACGCGTTGGCCATAGCTGGCGCGGGTGTTCGCGGTTTTTTTCTTCTCTTCTGTCTCTTTGTCCCGTTCGTGGCCTTGTCGTGTCCGAACTATAGCGAACAACAAGAACAAAGCAAAACGGAGGCCCGCGAGGGTCGTCCGCAAATTATAGCGAAAAAAAGGGGGCCCCGTTCCCATAGTAAGAACAAGCAAACAAGAGGCGCCGGCGGGCAGTGAAACACGCACCACCACGGGCACCACCTTCAACGCGTTGGCCACAGCTGGCGCCGGTGTTCGTGGCTTTTTTCTTCTTTTCTCTCTCTTTGTCTTGTTCGTGGCCTTGGGTCCGAACCATAGCGAACAACAAGAACAAAGGAAACAAAGCGGAGGCCCGCGAGGGCCGTCCGCAAATTATAGCGAAAAAAGGGGGGCCGTGTTCCCAAGATGGTGACAAGAGTAAGCAACCAGGAGGCGCCGGCAGGCAGTTAAACACGCACCACCACGGGCACCATTTTCAACGTGTTGGCCATAGCTGGCGCGGGTGTCCGCGGTTTTTTTCTTCTCTTCCGTCTCTTTGTCCCGTTCGTGGCCTTGTGTCCGAACTATACTTACATAGCGAAGAACAAGGACAAAGGTCCGCGGAGGCCCGCGAGGGTCGTCCGCAAAATATAGCGAAAAAAAGGGGGCCCCGTTCCCACAGTAAGAACAAGCAACCAAGAGGCGCCGGCGGGCAGTGAGACACGCATCACCGCGGGCGCCATCTCCAACGCGTTGGCCATGGCTGGCGCGGGTTTTCGTGGTTTTTTTCTTCTTTTCTCCCTCTCTGTTCGATCGTGGCCTTGTGTCTGAAGTATAGCGAACAACAAGGACAAAGGGAAACGGAGGCCCGCGAGGGTCGTCGCGAATTATAGTCAGCGAAAAGAGGGGGGCCCCCCGAAAGTGGTAGCGAAAAAAACGGAGGCAGGCCCGCGAGGGTCGTGCGAAAATGATAGCGAAAAACGGGAGGACCCCGCTCCCAAGACGGTAGCAACGAGCAGCCCTGCGCCGGCGGGCGCTAGGTGTCTGCTTCTGGTTTGATGTTGTCAGGGTCGTCGCAGTTCTCAAGTTGTGAGAGAAATCAACGAAGAGGCTGATCGAGTCCCTGAAAATCGACAGAGAAAGACCCACCAAAGGAACCTACCTGCAAGGCCAAGAATCTGAGCAGATCCGCGCCACAGGTCCAAAAAAGTCCGGCGCAGTGCCATAAGAATGACCGTCGAACAGGCCCAAAGAGTGCGCGGGCGCTGGAAGTTTTCTGGCGTTGCGCTTGTCTTCGTCTGTCGTGGCTTGTTGGTGTTCGTGGTTTTTTCTCTTCTTCTCTCTCTCTGTCCCGTTCGTGGCTCCGTGTCCGGATGATAGCGAGCAAGTGAACGAATGAAAAAGGAGGCCCGCGTGGCGGGCGCTCTGAAGGTGATAGCGAAAAAAAGCGGAGGCTGTTGCTGTTGAGTGATAGCGAAAAAAGCGGACGCTGTTGCTGCTGCTGTTGTTGTTGTTGCTGCTGTTGCTGCTGTTGCTGCTGTTGTTGCTGTTGTTGCTGTTGATGTTGCTGCTGATGTTGCTGCTGATGTTGCTGCTGATGTTGCTGCCGATGTTGCTGCTGATGTTGCTGCTGATGTTGCTGCTGATGTTGCTGCCGATGTTGCTGCTGATGTTGCTGCTGATGTTGCTGTTGATGTTGCTGCTGATGTTGCTGCTGATGTTGATGCTGCTGCTGATGTTGTTGCTGATGTTGCTGCTGATGTTGCTGCTGATGTTGTTGCTGTTGTTGCTGCTGTTGCTGCTGTTGTTGTTGCTGTTGTTGCTGTTGTTGCTGTTGTTGCTGTTGTTGCTGTTGTTGCTGTTGTTGCCGTTGCTGCCGTTGCTGCTGTTGTTGCTCGCTGTTGTTGCTCGCTGTTGTTGCTGTTGCTGCTGTTGTTGCTGCTGCTGCTGTTGTTGCTGTTGCTGCTGCTGTTGTTGCTGTTGTTGCTGTTGTTGCTGTTGTTGCTGTTGTTGCTGTTGTCGCTGTTGTCGCTGTTGTTGCTGTTGTTGCTGTTGTCGCTGTTGTCGCTGTTGTCGCTGTTGTCGCTGTTGTCGCTGTTGT